TGGTATTATGCATCCAGCCCTTTGCAGCATAAAAAAGGTCTCCTCCCTTTTCATTATGGCAGCCCTTCAGATGATATGTAAAGGCTGTCTATTTATTTAACCCTCTTCTCAGATGGTTTGCCTCACAAGCCCTTTATCATTTTTGTCACCTACCTCTAAGATGCTCTCTAGCTTCTGCATGTGCGTTTTAAAATGTGGGGATCAAAGCTGCACACAGTTCTCCAGATGGGGACGCCAGTTGATTGTCTTTCTACCTTGTAGTCAATTTACCTGTCGCACATTTCTCCAATTGGTTTCTGAGGTCATGTAATACTGCCAAACTATACTACAGTCCAGATATGCTATATCTACTGCAATCTCTTCCTTTACCTAGCTAGTTATTTTGTCAAAGAAGATTAATTGCTTTTTCATTTCTGCATATTTTTTTAATGGAGCTAAATGGTTCTTTGTTCATTTCAGCTTGGAGTCCTGCAGAAAAAAATCTGAACATTTTCAATTGAAAATTTTCAAAAAGCAGTTTGTTCTTAAAAATGTGGGTTTTCCAAATAATTCAGTTTCCTAATTTCTTTGCTAGAGCAAAGAATGTCACAAGTATTATGAATGTGATAAAATGGAATTTCCAAGTTCGCAACAGGGAAAATAGCATAAAAGTGGATTGTCATTTCATTTCACTAGAATTTAAATGGAAAGTTTTATTTAAATTGGCTTTTTTTTGTTTAAAACTCTGATCTAGATAGTAACGTTTGCATTTACTTACCTCTTCAGGAGGGTAGGTTTTTTTCTTGAATAAATGACTCTCATTTAATTGGAGTATGATATAGAAGTTGTTTTGAGTTAAATGTTCTACTGTTCTTTTGTATTGTTTGTAATGAGAAAAGAAATAGTTTGTGATTATTTTATATCCCGAAGGACCTAATTTAGATGACTCTTTTAATGAATTAACCAATGAATATAAAATAAGTTTTAACCCACAGCCAACTGATTTCTTCTGCAATAAAACTCAATCATCTGAAAAAGGTGATGCATGAGCTCACACACTAGCTTGCTGATTGGCTTGCATGGTAACCCTCTCTTTTCCTCTTTTGAATAATTTAAGCAGGATACAGTTTTGGTTTAGTTTTGAGTTAAATAATTAATTCCAAAATGGTAATAATAATTAGCACTCATAGGGCTTTTACACCTATAAATATTTTAAAAATGCTCTAGAAAATTGGGTATTATTATTTGTTTTAAAGACAAGAAATGTGAGGCAGTCAGACAAACTGACTTGCAGTGTCCCATAATACATTACATAAGAATAGAGCCCAGGTTTCCTGGTCCTGTCCACTTGCCCAAAATGCCTTCTTAAAATTGTAGTCTCATTAGTGTCAGACTTTCTATTGAACAGATATATACACATGGTGCTCTAGGAAGTCTGTGGCCCTGGTGACGAGTGACATCATCTCTATGTGGCCTCTGACCATGCTAAGGAGGGCTGCCATAGCAACACGCCATGCCACAAGCTCCTGTTCTGCACGTGCCAAATGCTGAGAAAGTGTAATGTAGCTGCCACGAGAGCAGTGGTTGGTCCATGCCAATAAGCGTAAGCAAGACTGAGAGCTTCAGAAGGGCAGTGCGAGTTGCCTGGGTGCTGGCCAAACAGCTGCTACGTAATTTTTTTTTGACATTTGGCTCATGTGGAATGGGAATCAGCAGGCAGGGCATATCTTCACAGCGGCACTCACTAGCACTGCCAGAGGCTGCATGGACACACCCTTTGTCTCTGTTTGCCTTCTTTATTATTGCACCAACAACTAATGGGTTTCTCCAATAGTTTTCTCATCCATTCTGGTATTTCTTAAAATGTCATTTGCAATTTTTCAGCAATGGCCCTGTTGGGCACTTAACACCTTTTTGGGATGTTCCAAAAATTAGTGTTGAGATGCTGTAAGCATCATAGCTCTTCTGTTTCTTGTATAAAAAGCTTCCATCAAACATGAAGTGTGAAATTGATTAAGGATTACTTCTAGTCTAGTATAGCAAGAAAGAAAATGCTTTTGCTGCCAATCGCAGTAATACTTAGCCTGCTGTTCCCAGTCAACTTATCAACTGCAGCTCTTTGTAGAAAATGTTGCCAAAGATTTTTTTTAACTGCATGCTTTAGGTACATCTTTCCTGAAATCATGAGTAATGCATCACATATGCGATCTTACTCTCCACATAGTGCAAATGGTAATTGTACTGTCCTTTTTCTTTTGACTTGTGTTTGCTGCAATTCACTGTGGAGTATGAATTCATCTGCCAAGTGGGGTAAGAAACTGCATTGAGTATAGTTTGCATGGGCCACCATGAACAATGAGTGCTCATCAGCTGGTGGCAATCAGCAGAGCTGTTTTAGGTTTATTTTTCTTTTTTCTTCTTAGGGTGGGGTGTGGAGAGGGGATTTAGATTGACAGCTGGACCCACTGACTTTGAGAGACTACTTAATCAAATCCACTAAATGGTGTTTATTCATTTCAGTAGTAATTTCGCTGTTCAATTGCTATAATGACTTTTATTGAAGCAAAATAAATATATGCTACTTGTTGTATACATAAACCCACTGGCTCCATATTTCACAGGTCTTTGTAGCTCAAGACCTGCGCTCTTGCTAAAAATGGCAACCAAAATGCAAGCTGATCCTGTCAGGAATCTCTCTCTCTCAACAGGAGCTTTGCACTTCTTTATCTGAAGCAGAAGTCAGCAACCTACAACCTGAGGAGGCATGGCTTGGGTGACATTTGGCAGCAGCAGGCTCTGCCTGCAGTACGCTGCAGCACGCTGCAACTGGAGGCTTCAGGAGAAGGGGAGCTCTCCTACACCATAGGCTCCAGCAGAGATGGGGCTCTCCCCACACCACAGCTAGGGGACAGGGAGAGGTGACAGAGGTGGCTAGGTGTACTGCCCAGTCACTTCAGACCAGGGCTAGGTCATTCTGGCCCCTGCTAGAAAACATTGCTGATGACTCCTGGGTTAAAGCAAGGCAGATGCATCATTATATAATACTTACAATTAAGCTGAACTTGTTTCAGTTCCAGCAATAACAAATATCTGGCCTGTTGAGAGAATAGTTTTTTCTATTGCTGGTTAACCTAAAAGTTTCAAGTACCATACCAGGGCACTGGACAAATGTGAACTAAAATAATGGTTTTCAGCCATTTTGAATTTGTGTTGCTCTTTGTTCCTGCTCCTGAAATGTACTTACACAAACTAGTGCAATCAGGTTGCTTCAACTGGCAGTGCCTTTAGATTTGGCATTCACTAGCTCCTTACTGCCATGACGCTTTCCTCTGCAGGTCCAAAGAGACCCCAATCCATGAGTGGCTGTCATTTTCTCAGTTCAGTCTTGTTATTCTTCATATAATGACAGCTATCATTTAGCACATAACCATTCTAACAGGATTGTTCACATGCCTAGATACTTCCAAAATAAACTGTTCCAAAAAGTCACTTGAAAGACTGGTACAAAAATATAACAATGAAGAAACACAAAGACATCATTGCTACCCTTAGAGCTTGCATATTTATTGAACAAATCCTACTAAAATAGCTAAAATACATTGGGTACTTGTAGTGCATTATTAAAGATCACATTGTTACAAAAGCCTGCATTTTCAGCAGTACACAACTGCACCTATACATAAATGCCACAACTGCTGAATACTGTTTCTTGCTCTATATACAGCACAGTTGATGTATCTAATCTATCAGAAAAGAAAATATACAGGAAAGGGAATACAGGGCATGGATGGAGGGAGAAACCCAAGAAATGCAGTGCATGCATTGGTATTAACAGTCAAAAGCGAAAACAGTTCAGAACAAGGCCTGCCCTGTAAAAGGAACAGCTAAAAGACAGAGTTATATAAAAAATTAAGGTGGGCTTTCAGACTGTGTCTAACACAACAACATTCCATGAGTAGATGATACTGCTTTTTTGTTTGTGTGTTTGTTTGTTTGTTGGTATTTCCCTGGGAGCAACTACAAAAGTGTAAGAGCCACATGTTGACAATAGTGTGGAAATAGGCTCTTTGCTTTTTACAATTTTCTCCTTCTGAAGTTGGAGGAAACAGTTATTCACGTATCACCTATGTTATTGATTTTAAGAGGACATTAAAACGTGCCTCTGTTTTCAAAAAAGCCTTTTAGAAAAGACAAAGTGTAAGAGATTTCTAAAGACCCCTGGAAAATTATTGCTCGTTTTTCTCCAAGTTAGGTGGACAGGATACAGAAAGGAGATTTTAAGTAAATTACAGTTTTGTGACTGCTCCCACTACAACTGCATATTTGTGAGTGTACCCTGATAAGGAATAGGTTCCTCTCTTTTACTCTATTAGTAGTTACTCACCTACAGCACTGAATAAGAAAGCCACACTGAAGACACAAGGAAACAAGTCAGTCCAATCTAAAGAACAACATTCAGGAAAACAAAGTACCAACACCTTCTCAGAACATGGAAATAAAAAATAACTCCATCAGAGCTACCTTGCCAAGGAGCATGTTTAAAGTCCAAAATAGCACCATTCATCAGTGTCTCAAATCCCGTGGCAGCATCACAATCACTTACCACAAGGAAACCATGAGTTTCATACTACTTCTATACATCAAAAGAGTACATGGATAAAATATAGAGCTATACAGACAATTGATGAAAATAAACTACTAGGCTTGTTACATCTAAATGAAAAAAGGGGGACTCTCAGCCTCTGCAAGAAGCAGTTAGGAATGATGGAAATGGAGAGGCAGCTGTTTACCAGTTGCATGTGAGCAGTGGAGTTTGAGTAGTGGAAGACATTGCTGTAGTCGAACCAGGCCTGAAGGCCCACCTGTAATGTTTTGTAAACATGGATTCACAGTGTGAAATTCTGAGAGCTTTTTCTTGAGTCAGAATGTTAAAAACTAGTTTTATAATACACATTTGTCCACTGTAATTCTCTAAAGCAAGGCTCAGAGTCCCATAGTTTCTTCTTACACTTGATGATTTACACAGAAACAATTCCCGATATATGACACCATGACCTCATCAAACCCATACACCATATGCAATACAAATGGAGGAATTATGATTAAAAGGAGTAGAGGGAATTGATTTTGGTGAAATGGTGTCCATAGTCATTTGGTGGAATCAGGAACAAAGCTTCAGTCTCCTTGTTCTTCTTGCGATTTACTTCTTTCGGGATAAGAAGATATCCCTGCACAGGAAGGGAAAAAAATTAGCTGCGCTTCTACAAAACCAGTTCAATGAATTCCACTCCCCCTCTTATATCCTTAGACTTTTCATGGTCTTGTAAAGTGTAGCTAACACAGTAAACAGTTTATTCAAATGTAAATATTAGTTCCATAGGAGAGACTGGATTGTTTAAGAACTACACAGAAGTCTTGGGGATTTGGATAAAAAAACCTGTCTTTACTTTTAGCTGAGTCAGTGTCTCCTACAGCTCAGGTGACTAAGTTTACAAAAAATACATCTAGTGGCCAAACTGGGAAGCTTTGCTGCTGCCTGGAACATGTAAAGAAGTATACCATTTGAGTAGGATCTTGGGTAGGGCTTATGCTTTAAGCTACAAGTCTCCCCTCGGTTCACCATTCTGCCTAGGAAATGTGGATTCTACACTTCAAAAAATGGTTCTGCCTTCCTCCAAAATACCCGGCTAAATCTCTGGTCCAGTTTTAAAGCAGGTCTGTTTCCTCCCCACCCATCTCTGGAGCAACTCTTAATCCTGTAAGTATACGTTAGGAGCAGTCCTTTGCCTTTCCAACTTCAGGAATTGCAAACAACTCATCCCCCACACAGGACTATAAAGGGATGGAGAGGTGACTTCTTGAACCTATCCAATCACACACATGTACCTCTGCAAGAGTCAGGGGCCATCTAGGCCTGAATCTGTACCTGAACATTTTGCACAAGAAACTGTTTAACATATGAACTCATATTTACATAAATTGTGTTTGCTAGATGGCTAATTACCTGAGTTGCATATACAAACAACCAAAATGTGTTAAAAAAATCATGAAGGCAAAACTTGGTACCACACATTTATGAATTGGGTTGTTATTCAAAAAGAAAATAATTCAGTGTTTTTACACCAAGTGCCTCTTTATGGCAAGCTGTTTCATGACACCAGACATTTGTTTAAAAATGGAAGCCAGGAACACAGAAAATTAAGGTTAAAAATTCTATCTATGAAATGTTTGTGGTGGGAGGGATAACCCCAGGCTCCATTTTATTGTTGCATCTGCTGTAGTATATAAAAAGTTGAGTTATAAAAGATCACCTTGTTATTGTAGCATACCTTTTAGAGCTTAGGACTCTCAAGCAAGGCAGCAGCACCCTGGGGTGCCTAGAGCACCTTTTTACAGGTTCTGCAGGGTGCCATGCAATGTTAGCACTGTTAGGTGTACAAACCTGATTCACAAGATACATCCAGAAATTTCAAATAGGCATCCCAAGTATTAAAACATTCTGATCCATTGTCATCTTTATGAGTAGTTTGCAATATAAGAATTGCTCTATTATTTTTCTGTAGTTAAAAAAAGAAAAATGACCTGACTTTGAGGCTACCGAGGAGTAACTTAAGTCTAAAAAGGTTGAGAACCACTGCACCGAGTGTCTTTCCAGTGCTACTTTAATGAAAAGACCATTTATCCTTCTCTCACTGGCCCAGCAAGATGTAACGTAACATCCCATCACTGAGTCCATGCTATTAAAATAGTGCAATGTTAGTGATGTTATTTTGGCTTTTCCCCATTAACTACAGCACAAAATATTTAACACCCCAAGGGCCCAGGTACCAATTCACCAAAGCCTTTTCAAATGTGCTTAAGAGTCTATCCCTACTTAGCAAAGCAATAAAGCATTTGCTTAACCCCAGATGAAGGTCTCAAAGCTAAGCACGTGTTTAACTGTTTCATTGAACAGAAATACCTTGCCAGATTGGGCGCTTTAACTGTAAGCTACATAAAATTACTAACATGCCATAGACTCAGTCATAGAGAAGTAGGGCTGGAAGGGATCTCCAGAGTTCATCTACTCCAAACCTTCCCCTGAGGCAGAATCATCCTATCCAAACCAACCCATACAACCATGATCTAAACTCTACATAAGACTACCCTCAACCCACAGGTAAAGCAGGGGAACCATGACAACCAATGACAACATTTTAGAAGCAAGACAATATATGCTCAAGAGGTCCTGGGCAGAAAGCCCAGGAACCCCCACTTCAGAAGCAGCCAACCCCTCCTCCCCCCCCAGTCCATAGCAATCTGACCATGGGGTAAAATTCCCTCCTAACCCGAGATATGGCCAGTCTGACCCTGAGTGGAGGGGCAAGACCCTCTAGCCAGGATCCTCTGGCTTTGCTCCTAGCAGGAGAATTAGCACACCAACTGAAGTCCGCAGCCTTAGCTTTAGCCACCAACCAATGCCTCTGGGGAGGCTTAAAATCATCCTGACATATAGCAGAAAAAAAGGGGGAGGCAGGAGCAACCAGCAAAGCCCAGAAGCATGGAAAATACCCATGGCAGAAAATGCCATCCTTTCATGGAGGAAAGGAACGCTGATTATTAATTGTTGGAAATGATCAAAACGCTGTTCTGTTTTGTTTGTGTTTTTAGAAAGAGATCATAAGTAAAAGCATGAGCCATCTCAATTAGGAAAATGTTCGGACAAAAGAGTACTACAAAATAGCATAGCATTTTTGGAAGCTTTCATAAGAAACCAAAGTCATTGTTAGTATAAATTGACTTTTTTGAATTCAGTCTTTTTGACAAGAAAAGTATAAAATTCAGGAATCACAAAGAATTACCATAAAGAATCTCCAGGAACAGAATAAGCACACGCACACACGTCTCGTGATTTGAAAATGTACTATTGTGAGCCGATTTCTTTTTCCTGGCCTCAAAGCCAACAAAGCTGTAATTTATATCAGATTTTCCGTGTTAAATGTATTCAGTTGCTCTGAGAATTCAGCTATTCCATTACTTTCCCACTGCCTCAATTCAGATTGGAACCCAGCAACAGGCTAAATTCTGCTTTACAACTCCCATAAGCACACACCCAAAGCAATAGTCAGCAATATCCTCAAGTCTTTACTCAAGGGCAAGAATACCTTCTCCTTTAGACCAATTTTGGCTGCAGGAGAATAAAGGACTCTGAATGTATGAAAAGCCCTTGCTAGGGAGCAGCAGAACCTGCATGTGGGAGGGACTGGGATCATGAGCAAATGTATCTGACTGCATCAAGGGAAGAAGTATTGAGCAGGGGCTCATGTTAGGTCATATGCTGGGAGCAAGTATACAGACACTCTATAGCGCTGCGGAAGGAAATACACCCATTTTCTCTTCTTGATTTTACAGACTGGCTACTTAGGTATGACAAAGAAAGAGAATTCTTTCCTGTCCTTGCTAGAACAAAACAGGAGTTTTGTCTAAGAACTTCAGAATCAAGCTCTTCTTGTTGAGGCCCAGTGACTACACATTCTCTTAACAGAAAACTCAGTCACTTCACAAATGTTTTTGCTTTAAAAAAAAAAAACAAAAACAACTAAACACTAATTTGTTACTTGTTGATCATTACAGGATATGGGGGGGGGGAAAAAAACTAGAAACTTACACATGCACACACACAAACCAAAGGTCTGGGCAAGTTTCCAAAAGCATTGTGTTGAGCAGTTCCTTTTCAGCTGTGAAAACAATCTCAGTCCTGAATTTCTGCCACATAATCATAAGATAAAAAATCCCATGTGACCTTTCTGGGTCTGGAAATATGTTCCCATTATTAAATATATCCCTTTATACTTGCTAGTTGCATGAGAAAAAAATATCTTTTAACCTGAAATCAGAAGCTCAAAAACTGTTCAGTATTATGTCAATATTTCAGGCTGTTTTGGATTGCTTAAGAGTCCACAAAACTGTTCAGTTGAAGGCCTCAGCACTTTCCCCAAATTATTTTGACTAATTTTATAAACCTGATGAAAGAATTAGATTCTGAACATACTGTTTCAGATAAATGTGATACTCTGAAGGATGTCAGAGTGTAAATGTCTAATACTAGGCTTAGTTTTGAAACAATTATCAAAAATAAATTAACAATGGTCCTAAATATTTATTCTCCAAGTATATGCAGATTACCTTTGAACCACTTACTGATGCAAATATACCCAAATGAAAAAGCTGGAATCCAATCAAGCCAAGAAGAAATTACAATGCAGTATTTCTGTCCATCTCAGAATCCATTAGTCATTTGGTTATTTTTTTTAGGCCTGGGTAAAATGATGAAATATCTCCAGATTGCAAGAAGCTTGGAATAACTGCTCCTTCATATATCCACGTGCACTGCTGTGCTGTTCCTTTACTGACCCACTTACAGTTTCAACCTTGGGCTGCAGAAGCAACTTGGTATAAAGGTGGATGTTGATCCAGGAAAACCTTCATGGCAAGAGTTACCAACCTGGATAGCGTGAGTGCTAGGGCTGCGCAAATTGTTTGCCAAGTGTTTAGTTTCAAAGCTGTTTTGACGTGTTTCGAGCTCGAAACAGCGAAAACAAAATGAAACAAAAACCATTGAAACAGCTTTGAAATGAAATGAGGGCACTTGAAGCAGCCCAGTGGTGGGAGGCAGGGGAGAGAGCCAGGGCTGCAAGCCGAGCAGCACCGCAGCCCCAAGTAGCTCAGCCCTAGCTCTCCCCGCGTCCCACCGCGGGCTGCACTCCGTGCGGCTGGTGGAGCTGATCGGAGCACAGCCCTGGCTCTGCCTGCTTCCCATCACCAGGCTGCGTTCTGAGCGACATCGCAGCCCCATGAAGCTCAGCCCAGCGGCGGGAGGCAGAGCACAGCCCCGGCTCTTCCCACCTCCTGCTGCTGGGCTGCTCTCTTTGGCTCCGCCAGCCCCACATCGGAGCACAGCCCCAGCTCTGCCCACCCCCCACCACCACTCTCCCACTGCTGGGCTGAGCTCCTTGGGGCTGGCAGAGCCAATCGCAGCACAGCTTGGTGGCACGAGGCAGGGAGAGCCAGGGCTGTACTCCACCTCCCACCACCAGGTTGAGCTCCATGGAGCCTGGTGCTGGGCACGGGCTGCGCCCAGTGCCGGTCCCAGGTGGCAGCGGCAGCCTGCTGTCATCTGGCACAGATCCAGAGGCCTGCACCCTCAGAAGGAGTCCAGCACAGACCCACAGCCCTCCCAGGGGTGCGAGGCCCTGGATCTGCAGGCCTAACAGGAGGCTGCCACTGCCAGCAAGTGTCATGAATTTTGCTTTCAAGACTTTAAGGTGTGGAGGTCTCAGAAACTGCACCTATCTCCTTGAAACTTGGCAGGCTTCATGCCCTCAGAAGGGACTACCATCCCTGCAGTTTGCATCCAAAACAGGCAACAATGACAACATTTTAGGCATTTTCATGATTCCCTGTTATAGCCTATGGATGAAATGACAAAACAGGCCAAAACAGCAAAACAGTTTCAACTAAACGAAATGGGACAGTGCTTCAAAACGAAACAAAACACTCTGTCCCTTTGAAACTGCAAAAGGGACATTGAAATGAAACAATGGTGTTTTGCATAGCCCTAGCGAGCACACCCATTTAGTGATCTGTAATGTTTTTTCTATTAGGGCCTTGGCAGACTTTACATTTGTTGCACGCTATATAGGAGTTTCCTGTAGCACATCACAACTAGGGACCTAACTAAATTGCAGCAGAAGTTTGTAGCACAGCAGCGCCTTTAATCTCACTCTTCTCTTCGCTACCGCCACCCACCTCCCAGCTGAGTGCCCGTGAAGCAATTAATGCCACAGTTTTGTCTCAGCCACTCTGCAGCAGGGGAGAACGCGCAGCAAGAAGAGCAAAATTAAGAGGGCCACAGCACCACGAACCTCCACCACAACTGAGGTAGGTCACTAATTATAATGTATCAGAAACTGATCTGCCACAAAGATAGTGGATCCAAAACAAAGAAGTGATTGTTTCAAAGACCAAGTTTTTTGTCTTGTCAGGACAAATTTAACATATGACCAGATCACAAGCCATGCCCCCCCACCTCTCCCACAGTGCTCTGCTCCCCTTCTAAGGGAGGGCAAGTGGCTCCATGACAGATCACCAGCAAGCTGTCAGTGTGGCTTGCTGGCTGCCCTGTCCCCATTGCCCCTTGCAGCAACAGGGACAGGGTACTGTGACAGTAACAAGGACTGCCTGGGTGGGAAAACCACTGTTTCCGCACTCTCAGCAAGCCCAATAGCTGAGAACTTTAATGGGTTCCAGAGCAGCCTACATCTTAATCAGCTGAGCAGGCAACTGTGTTAGTGAGCCCCTCCAGCTCACTGACAGGCTCCCCTAGGGCAAAGGGAGCCAAGGAACAGCGCCCTATTAAAGAGCAAGCCTTTGTGGCAACTTTGTTGTCCCCAGCCAGGGAGCATGGACCGTGTGGCCACTTGTAGCACTTTATTTTTTGTAGTTACAAACTTTGTAGCACTATAAAAATAATATATCTGTCCGGATCCTCAGAGGTCCATGCAGCTATAGAATTAATTTCATATACATGTGTCCAAGCTATGAAAAAGCAGTACTTCCTGCAATAGCACCCCTTAAACTAGCATTGCTACTGGCCTACTTGGCTGAACTTTGAAAGTATTCTGAATGCAGTAATGATAATACTTCCATACATGCTACTTTAGAAACTCTGCAAGCTCACATATAAAGACAATCTTCAAATCTCATAAGTGGACCAGAAATCTATGCATGTTAAATGAACAAGTTACTACAAAACAAGCTAGTGTGCAAAATTGCAGAGCATTAGCTACTCTGCTAACTGCCCTTGTGCACACTCTTATACTGCATTAAATGCAAGATATTCCATTTTATTCACTTCATTCTCATTCAGCGATTTGCATTTACCACAGGGTAAGAATGGAAGTAAGCACTTATCACAGAATAAGCACTGTGCTGTAAATATGCACTCTAGTTTACTCCACAGTAGGCATATCTAGCTTACCCCGCAGTAAGCAGTTTTTATGCCAGCATCAACACGTGCAGGTGTTACAGTGCAGTAAAACTGACTGGCAGGTGTGTGCGGACTGACTTGGGACTAAAGTTAATCTACTACTGAATTTAGACCCAAGTCAGTCCACACACAAGGGTTACTGCACAGTAACACATCTACATTTGCCTTACTGCACAGTAACTACTCGGGGCATAAATTTGCTAACTGCATCATGCATCATCAAGTCAGCATAAGTCACCATAGTTACTGTGCAGTACAGGTACACTTGTGTAGACACGCACCCATACTGCACAGTAATTTTTGGTTACTGCACACATGTAGATGTGCCAAAAATTGCTCGTGCCACTATACCTTAAATAGAAGTTTCAAATTTCCTTAAAATAAAAAAAAAGGGATGGAAAACATACTATTAACCAGATGGGACAGCAACATTTTCTTCACAGGAATTCTGTCTCGATAGTAATAGAAACATAATAAAAACAGTTTTCCATTTTCTCTCCTCTTTGCTTACTTGCCAATTTTGCTGCCAGATTTTGAGTCATTAACAAAGAAGAATATGGAAATGAAACAAATATGTTCAGTGGTTTTTGAATAACTCCTTTATTTTACTACTCAAATTTCATGTCCAATTTGGGGTTTATCAAACCAGTAATGACGACAAAGAAAAATCATTTAAATCATCAGATATACCATACATTCTGTGTTTGTGTTAACAATATTTGTACTGTCAAACATGACCGATGTGCCTTTAATTACATTGTGCAGTTGTCACGGAGGCAGGTAAGACATGAACACAAAAATCTGAAAGAAATAAAAAAAATAGTTGTTTCTCCTTTTACTATAGTTTAGGAACCCTTCAGACTGTTGCCTCTTTCTTTATATTGTTGAAGTGGTATTGCCAACACCAAGCATTCAAAACTCATGAGTCAAGCCCAAAAAACCCACAAGGCTAGCCTAAAATACATGAGTGCTTGAAAACTAATAAATTTGGGGTTCTTTTGCCTTCTGAAGCTACTAAGGTACATGTTTTCAAGCTTTTCTTTGGCAACTCTGAGGGATAAAAACTTTTTATTTTTAAATGAAATCTGAGATTTCCATGTAACTGCCTGACTCAGGGTCCTTGAGGCTTTAAGAAAAATAGTGAGCATAAGATGAAACTTGTGAGATAGTCAACTCACATGATTTTACTTTTTAAGGCAATCATAAAATAAATGTAATGAACATTCACAGTCCTTCATTTTATATACAACTCTCAATCTTAGGGCATGGGCTAAAGAAACAAGCTACTGCAAGGTAAGTTGGGTGTGAGTTTACTGCTCATCAGCTACTCCAGGGGTGGCCAACCTGTAGCATAATTGCCAAAAGGGGAATGGACTGCTTATGCATTTAACTTACAGCAAATCGGGGAGGGGGCAGGCAGCACAGCAGCAGACAGGATAGGAAGCAGAGCAGCAGATTGGGCAGACGAAGCAAAACAGAGTGGCGGAGGAAGTTCACACTCTACCTTATCTCACAGCAACTTATTTGGATAGCCACATCCTTAGTGAAGTGCTTGTTACATTAAAGAAAACTAGTTAAGTGTAATTATGTAATTAACTTTACCTTAGGAAATCCTCCATCTCCTTGGCTGGTTGGAAAGAGATTCTGGTTAACCCAAACTGTTAACCTTGGCTGATAAACCTGTAGCAACACAAATATATAACATTTCTTATAAAGGAGAGATGCTATGCAATCACAATGTTTTAGAGCAGCCTTCTTCCATTCAGCAAAGCTCAACTGCAGTCCAGTTTTTGCTCCAGAGACGGAATGAGATTCTACTGTTATTTACACCACCACAAATCTGTGGATTTATCCTGATCATGTTAATCTAGGATAACCATGGAAGCAGGACCAAGTCCAAGGGTACATTAAACATATACTAGGTATTACTTTGCATGGGTGTTCCATTTTAGTCAACCCATCTGTATCCTTGAGGGGACGGAAGAATAGGGAGAGAATGGAAACACTAAAACATATGACAACCTTACTTTCAACACGGTTTTATTGATATCTGAATAAAGAAACGTGCACATTAGCCTCTTGACAATGAAAAAATAAAAGCATAATCCATTATACAGCAATTGGCACACCTTCCCTCTCCACAGGTGAAGAAAAGAATTCCAGGTAGAAGGCAAGCTAGTATTTTGTAGTCACACATTTAAGATCATTACAGTAAAATAGGTTTAGATGTACCTTAAAAGAAATTAAGAGTTTTTGAGGAGTTTTGTTTGGGTTTTTTTTTTAAAGAAACTTCCCTATAGAAAATTCTGATGGAAAGTAGGAGAGGCAGAAGGCATCAGCCCTTGGGAGCCAAAGAAACCTAACCTGGCAGGAATTAATGCCAAAGTGCAGTTTCAGAAACTACTGCTTTTGGGACTGTTAGATGTTGATATTTCCTATTTTACAGTTCTCACTCAAGACAGAACACTGTCTCCCCATTTACAAATTATCCATTTCTTCCCACCTCTCCCCTGCTCTCAGCTAGTTCCTAGGTATTACTGCAATATATATCTTAAAATAAGTCTATTCCCAATCTAAGGCACCTCTTCACTTCTACAGACTTTCCCATTTCAACTCTGAACTAGTGGGAAAATCGTACAAAATCTGATCAAAATTAAATCATTCAGATGTTACACAACGTATTATGTTACATGTGTCTTTTTACAGAACAGAGATTATCTTTCCAGGAAATGTTTTGGAATTTATATATGCAATGATATACTATGGACAGAGGTAAAAGCTATAATAGGCGATCAGGTCTATTAAATTTATATAAAACCACAGAGCTGCCCCTATGTATGGGCAGTATGTGTGTCATGCCCTCTTTCTTCTGTTTTCAAATCCTCTTGTTCTTTCACAATGTCATGCTCAGAGGACTTGCAGAGCCATGACTGACATTCTGGCAAAAGAAGAACTGGGATGGCCAACTCCCATTGTTGTACTCTTGCAGATTACCTTCTATGTCCATCACCATGTACATCTGGCCCTCCAAAAGCCATCAAACACTCTAGAAGGACTATTTAAGGAGGGTCATTACATTTCTTGATGGCTGAAGACACATAGTGGAAATACAATTTCAGCAGTCCTTTAAAAATGCACTGCCTATTATGGCTTACTGCTTTTAGAGTTAACCGATCAGGACTAGGTATAGTTCAGAGTCAATTAGTTTAAATTTTAGAGACTAAAGGAATTCTGATTTAACAAAAGGACATATATACATACACATACACACACACATACACACGTGCATGCACTGCTCTCTGTATCTGTGTTCATTAATTAGCCTGCCTGATGTACAGCATGCATATGATTGCATTGGATCTGGTTTGGGGATGAGGCAGCCTGCACTGTACCGTGGCATGCTTGTGGGCACTGCTGGCAATCACAGCAAGTTTATCTTGCAGACACAGATAAAGTGCAATTTACATCAGTGACAAATTTAGCCCTGATCACCTATTTAATATCAGGTGCATTTTAAAACTGAGAAGGAATGTTATTATTTTATAGGATCACACATCTGAGATTATTAGGGTGTGGACAAAGGTAGCACCTGAAACATTTCCGAGCTTAACAGGCTAGAAAATTACTCAAAAAGGTATAATTTCAGTCATGGGGTATACATACACCCCTGCGGTGTCCCCTTCCTACAATGCTTCAAATCTCTAGCCAGGAGGTGCTACAGTCCCCAAACAGGATAGAGGAATGGAGCCGTTACTGCCATTCCACAACTCCCCACCCCTCAGCAGGGAGACTGCAAGGAGGAAGGAATGGAGCTAATACATCAATGCCCTATCCTGCTCTCCAGCAAGAGCCCAACAATGTCCCAGGTGCTAAAGTGATGTCTGGGACCTGGCAGCGATGCCATGGAGGGGACCCAGAAGAGCACTCTAAGTGCTCTGGGACCCTGCAGTGGCAGCCCAGGATCCAGCAGCTCTGCCCCAAGTGCTGGGGTCCTGGGAGTGGCTAGTCAGCCTGTCTACCCTGCAAAGAATTCCACTCCTCTCTGGTGGAGTGGGGGGAGAAGGCAGCTGAGAATGGAGTATTGTGGGATTTCTGAAGGACCTATGAACAGATGTAACAAAAAAGGACACTTCAAAAACAGCAGCTCATGTCAAGAGGTACAGTTCTGGAGTGCTTTAGCCACTTTTGGAATGTTTCAAAGGGCACATATGTCTGCATAGCTGGCCCTCCATAGTGATTAAAGGTGCCTGAAATGCTTTGAGTTGTCTGTCCATAGTCTTACAGTAAACAATAGAATCACATACTCACTGGAGAAATTATCAACATATTCTTCAGAAACTCTTTCCTCTAAAATTCTGAGCTTCTGCAAAGTGTGAAGGAGGAGAGGATTTTAAGCATAAAACCTGCTGTAATAAAACTCCCTACCAGTTGTCACAGCCAAACAGCACTGTCTACTGGTGAAAGCATCAAGCTGAGTTGCATGTGCTGCATTTTAGTCTTTGGTTTTCTGTACACTCTCAACCAAATCCCTGAATACCGCTGCAATTTTTGCAAAACAGGGCTAACTGGTTGTCTTGTGAGGAATGATCAATGCATTTTAAAAAGTTGGCTGCTTGCAATCTTCTAGTAGACGGCACTATTTAAGCACCAGACACCAGTATTAAGCTAGTATTGATTTTGTCTGATGTTTTTGTTATTCATGAAAAACTTAAAACTACATTCATTTTTTAAAGTATTATAAAGATAATTCTCCAGGTTGTTGCAGCATCTCCCATCAATTCAAGATAATGTGGGTATGAATTCTCATGCTATGTTTTACTTTGTAGAGAAGTATCATGTGAACAACTAGCAAGACTAGCTCACCTTTTTATCAAAGGAGATGCCCAGATCATAAGGTACATACTTATACATTTATCCAGGCAGAATGTAAGCACAAGTCAATTGATTACAATATTACTCACCACTGAAAATGTTAGCTTTCAATTCTTTCTAGCATCATTTGGTAAAACTTTGGAGTTTAGTTCCAAATTAACCTTTGGAACATATTAGCATTGAAGGTAGCAGCTCAGCAAGATTCCCAAAATATTTGGACTTCCATATGAATAATGGGGACATCCAAAACTGATGTAATATGCTTGCTTTTATTTAGGGTTAGAAGGGTACCTCTTGCTTTAAGCAATAGCTCATCTCTTTCTTCAAAAGAATGAAATGTAATTTTCTCTAAGGACAGGTTATTCCATAAACCTTTAGGATTTCCTGCTTTTTTTAAACATCTGAATCTTAAAATCTGGGGAAGACTTCATGCTTTACACATTCACCATGCCATACAAAACTTAGTAAGATTCATTACATCCCCTCTACAACTACAGAGATGCACAGACGTACCGTAATATAAATACATTGAGAGCGCCTGCAAACAGCATACAGTAGTTCAGGCAACCTGATTTTAATGGTTCAGGCCAGCTACCCAGTGAAATAAAAGGGAAATTCCAATACAATGTAAATGCTTACAGCAGTCCAGATTCCCAGTGTCCAGGGCGCACATTATATTTTCATTCATTGGCATTTGTTTATATGGTTCCTCTAACAATGAAGACTTGTCTTAAGCAGCAAGGAAATCAGGATTCAAATGCCAGGATTACTAGGGAACAAGCTGAGCAGAAGCTAAAGTTTTTGCTAGTCCAACATAATGTATAAATAAATGCAGCATATTTTCCATTTGACTTAGACTGAAAAAGTTTCAGTGTTTAGTAATAGGGGTAAAAATAATCTACCAAATCTCAGCCACAAGCCACACAAGTGGGTCTACACTTGTAAACATTTTGTTAGGCATGAGCCCAATCTATCAGTTAACTTCCCCATAATCATAGACTTCATTCTTTTTCAGCAAAACCATGTGACACACTAAGCAGCCTACCAAACATCCTTAGTAAATTAGAAAAAGGAAACTATTGATCTAAGAATGTGTGTATGAAGTCTTTCACTTGTCTGGGGGTTGACCTCAATGGGAGCTTACTAAGAACTTAAGTTTCAACTTTGTTTCTGTGTTTTAAAACTTTCATTTTCACAAATATCCTTTAAAAAAGAAAGCTAAAGGCTGAGCAACACGTAGCCCAAGTTATCAGTGACAGCAGACTTAGGGGCATAATACTATTTTCTCTACCCCATTTAGAAGGAGACGTACTTAGGAAGTAGAGTGTAAGCCCTTTTTTTCCTCACCCAATTCAAGAAGCATGAAAACTGACAATCCTCTTAATACTACAGCAAGGACTACGTTCAACCCAAACCAGCAAAGCCCCAAATCTTTTGCTTATTTCTTTACTTTGAGGTATTTTTCCCTTATGTACCTCCCCCCACTTTAAAAGCAGTAATTACTGAGAACTCGAGATCCCTGACAGTACTTGCAAGACATTTTTAACAGGGCTGAAATATATCTACACAGTCGAGCCACGAAGAGGTGCTGAAGTAAAATTCTTGCTTCCAAGGCCTAAGTCTGATGAGTTTAGATTTAGTACTTTTCAAATGCTGCCTAGATCCAACCAGCAAGAAACAGGAATTTCAACATCTCCCTCAAACACACACTTTACTATTTATCAGACAGCTTCAACGTGCACATTCTTGTTAAGCATGTCTCCGATTTCTTCCAGGCCTCTTGAATTTCAAGAAACAATAAAGAAAGT